ACAACCCCGTAATAATTTTGAAAAAGAAATAACTTTATTTTGATATTCTGCCTGTTCTAACGTTTAGGTTTGGCTTATTTTGCTTTACGGCATATCAACAACTCAATAGGTTATTTAATGCCGACAAACTTTTTAGGATAGTTTCGTATGAATAGAATATGTATTCTTTATAAGAAACCAATTTGTAGATCAGGTTTCATTGACGTATTTTTGTGAAGAGGGTTTTTGTCGATAGTCAAAGGTATTGCTGGTAATATTTTTTCTTACACAGAGGCAAGTCCGGTGACCGCGGCGGCCATTTCATCAGAAAACTGTCTTCATCGCCATCACGCCCGATCCATCTCTCTGGCAGATCCGCATTGTGATAACAAAAATAAAACATTAAATATAAAATCTTGATCTGTTTCTATACATTCTGTGAAAATTTGAGATTATTTCAAGAATTGCCAAAATTATTGGCCAGCGAAATGGTGCCAAATTTTGTGGGACATCCTCTATTTCATAGTTTTTTTTTTTAACCAATTTGTGTGGGTAACTATTTGCCCATAGCTAGGACCCTAACAGGTGCTACCACCCCGAGCCAAGGTGGACCTGAGAACAACGGCAATTAAAGGTGGTTACACGCTCCTCAAACGTCCTTGGTAAGACGATGAACTACATCCGCGTCCTGGGTATGACGATAAACTACGTCCAACAACAAGGCTTCAGATAATGTATTCGGAAAAATAATGTTGCCAGCTATACGTTTTTGAAACAATAATGTTACCAGCGATACGCTTTAGAAACAATAATGTTACCAGCTATACGTTTATTGGAAAAAATAATGTTGTCAGCTATACGTTTTTTGAAAAAAATAATGTTGCCAGCTATGTGTTTTTGAAACAATAATGTTGCCAGCTATGTGTTTTTGAAACAATAATGTTGCCAGCTATACGTTTTTTGGAAACAATAATGTTGCCAGCTATACTTATTTTGGAAACAATAATGTTGCCAGCTATACGCTTTTGAAACAATAATGTTGCGAGCTATGCGTTTTTGAAAAAAATAATGTTGCCAGCTATATGTTTAATAGTACTGTATATTTAATATATGTATAGGTATATGTGTATGTATGTGTATGTGTGTATGTATATATATATATGTATATGTGTGTGTGTGTATATATATATATATATATATATATATATATATATATATATATATATATATATATATTAATTTGGCATTAAATGACCCACAGTGGTTGATATGCCATAAAGCCCAACCAACCAACCCACCAACGCTCCTCAAAACCTCAGAGGCTTTGCTGCCAGATGTCGTTTATCGTCATACCCAGGACGCCTCTGCATTCGGCATCATCTGAAGATCCAGGCAGTTCCCAATTTTATTTTGTAGGATTATTCAAGTTATTAATCAACCCTTGTACTTTTGAAGAGAGGTGAATTGGCTGCTACTTTTAGTATTCCGTTAAGTTTATAATCTTTTTTTATAGTATTAGACAAATTATTTAGCAATGAAGCTTCATAATTTTAAAGAGAATTAAATTACGTCTGTTTTGATAGCAGCTTCAGTATTCTATATAATCATAAAGATTTTTATAGGATTTGTGTCCTTATTTGTTCAATGAAGCCACATATCTTGAGCGACATTAAATCTAACTTTACTCTCTCATTCTCTCTCCCGTGTCCCCACAGGACGTGAATGATCACGACTCTCCATAATGAACTTATTCCATCGCTCTTAGCTCATTTTGCTAAATCTACTATTACCTATTTTACAAGCTAGATTGGTTATCTACCGTTTCTTTCTGCCCCTCTTGCCTTCAATATGTCCTGTGAGTGTCAAATTCTCCAAACCCTCTTTCCTCGTTATGTATCCCAGAAATCTCAGCTGTTTCTTCCTGATTCGAAGTACAAGTATACTTTATTTATTTTTATTTTTACTAAAACTCCCTTGTTCCTCACAGGCACTGTCCACTGTATTCCCAGCATCCTTCTGTAGAAATAGATCTATGTTGCCTCAAGTCTCCCTTTCATTTGTGAGGAAATTCTCTTGCATTCACTGATATGATATTACATAGTAGTTCAGCAACGTTTTCTTTGTTCCTAACGAAATTTACGCTATTCGTTCTTAATCATTCCTCCCAAGCAAGGCAATAAAGCCACTAAGACGCAAGGGATCACTGAGATTGAAAACTATGAGAGAAGAAAACGTTAATAGGAGAGAGAATGATAAAAGAATAGGAATTAAGAAGATAGTAGATAACAGCTGACATTGCATTTAAATTTTTGAAGATCAAAGCAAGAAGTGAGTTCCACAAGTGAGAAGTGCGATAAAAGAAACTGTTAGCATAGAACATTTCAACTATAAGATGATGAGACCTAACCGCCAATCTAGTAGTAGAATTAGATTCGTAAACATAATGCATGAAATGTAAATTGACGGGACCTTTCCGCCAGTCTAGTATACCTCGCTTAAATTCGTAAAGTCTTGGAACTATAAAGGAAAGCTCATTAGAACATTCACCATGAAAATATTTATAGAAAAGGCACAGGGAAGTTAGGTTACGGAGATAGGAAATTTACTGAAGCCGAGATGCCAGGTAAGTACCAGTAACATTTTAGATTTTTTAACTTCTGTAATTGTACAGGAAATGGGGTATCAACATGATTTGGCCGTAACCTTCATTTAACAACTGAAGAAAACTTTCACTAAATATACTATCATAAAAAGCAGGAATTTGAATAGTCATTCTGCACTAGTAATTTGATGTCTTTAACTATTTACCCCGAAAAAGGCAACAAAGCCACTATGACGCATAGAGTTACTGAGTGTTAAAGAATAGGAGAAAAAAATCTTATCAAGGAGAGAGAACAATAAAGGAACAAGAATTAAGAAGAGAGAACTTAACAATTGAAACTGATTTAAATTTTTAAAGTTTAATATTGACTGGAAAGCAAGAAGACGGAAGAGAGGTCCACAAGTTAGAAGTGTAAGAGAAGAAACTATCAGCATAGAACTTACGGTTACATTTAGTCATTTCAACTGTAAAATGATGAGACCTAGCCGCCAATCGAGTACTGCGATTATATTCATAAAGTCCAGGTATTCAAGAGGAAAGCAATATAAGGGAAGACTGGTGATATTCTGTTTTATAATTAAACTAAGCTAGCTACAATCGCTAATCTAAACATACCACAGTATTCCTTCCACCAAAACAACACATTCTTATTTACCATTCTTACTACAGCCACCATAATACCTGGGGGTCTCTATGGACAGGAAAAACTACGTTACGACGAGAAGAAAATCACTGAAGCCGAGATGCCAGGTCAGGATCATGAACATTGTAGATTCTTTGTATTTTATCAAGAAATCACTTAATATATAGCAGAAGCACCAGACCAATATATTTTAATATCTTGATTCTGACCAGTTTATTTATTTTGTCTGACCGTAACTTTTCTTATAAAGAACTGGATATCTTATTTATCAACGAAGCCATACAGTTTTAAAAAGAAACAGATTGATACCACTTTCATCATTCTATCTGGCCTAAAACTTGTTTTATGGGATTGGAGATCTTATTTATCAATCAAACGCCGTAGGAGAGTAATCCATTCTGTGTAGCCTGTGTACTATTTTATTCCTCTATGGTGTGTTTGGTGAATGGCACAGCAGCATGTCTATCTCCGACACCAGTAATCGGTTTTCAAGACAAAATCAGGCTTTTTTGATTATTCTTAAAGCAGAACCGGGTTCCCCATGCAGAAGATTAATGATATACTTGTAAAATCCCTGACGTCATATCCGTTTGACCATTGTTTTTTCCCATTGTTTCTTTTCTCACGACTTTTTCTCCTCCTCATATCTTCTTCTTCTTCTTCTTCTTCTTCTTCTTGTAACCTCTTGTTGTTCTTTTTCTTTCTCTACGTTCCTTTTTTCCGCCTCTTTTCGTTTCTCTCTATCTTGCTTCTTTCTTTCTTTCTTTCTTTCTTTCTTTCTTTCTTTCTTTCTTTCTTTCCCATCCTTTTCTTTCCTTTTGTATTTCTTCTTCTTCTTCCGTAACTTTCGTTGTTTTCATCACCTTTTTGTTCCTCTTCTTTCTTCACCTCTTATTTTCTTATTTGCTTTGGCATTTCTCACCTTCTTTGTCTCTATTATACTCTTCTTCTTCTTCTTCTTCTTCTTCTTGTCTTTTCACTCTTTGATTTCCTTCTTTTTTCTTTTTTCCCCACATTTCTTTCTTCTATTGTTGTTGTTGTTGTTGTTGCTATTATTATTATTATTCATATTATTATTTTTCTGTCCATCTCTTTTATTTCTTCTTCTTCATCTTTTTCGTTTATCTCCATCTTCTATTCCTTCTCCTTTCTAATTTTCGTTCTTTCTTTCTTTCTTTCTTTCTTTCTTTCTTTCTACACATTTCGTTCTTTTTTCCATTTCATCTGTTCGTCGTCTTTTTTAAAAAAAATTATTCCCCTCGCCTATTCTGATTTCTTTTTCTTCTCTTTGCTCGTCACCTCCTCCTCCCCATTCTTCTTCTCTTTCTCCCTCCTCCTCTTTCTTTCTTTCTTTCTTTCTTTTCTACAAAATCTCCTCCTCCTCCCGTTTGACGTAGTATGTCATAACGCAGTTTTCATGAATTCTGATATGAGAGAGCCAACTTATGCCAACTAGGTGGGTGGGGAGCCCACTTTCCCACCCTCAGGTCCACCATCAGCACCGCATTTTCCCATACACCCGAAAAAAACAAAAAATAGAGACTCTAATCATAAAAAAGGTATTTGCACGCCAAAATATTTCTCCTAAAGTAGAAAAGTGATAAGATTGCTGAAATAAGAGAGGTCCGGGAAAAAACGGCTAAAAACAGGGGGCGTGGGGGTGGAAGGCAAGTGTGGGGCAAGGAAAAAGGGACATTTGTAAACAAGAATAAGAATGAAAAAGACAGAAAAGAAGAAAGAATTAAGGAAGGAAAGAAAGGCGGAAGGAAAAGAAAGTTAAAATGAAATCAAGCAACAAAAGAAAGAAAGAACGAAAGAAAAGAAGAAAAAAGAAAGAAAGAGAGAAAGAAGAAAAATAAGCAAATAAAAGAACGGAAAGAAGTAAGGAATAATGCAAAGGGAGAAAGGAAAAGAAGAAAGGGGGAAAATAGAGAGAGAGAGAGAGAGAGAGAGAAGGGGAGACGAGTGAAAAAGAAAACAGAGGAATAAGTAGGGCGGAAGATAAATACGGAGAGAAAGAAAGCAAGAAGGAATTAAAGAAAGAAAAAAGGAAAGAAAAATTAAAAGAAATGAGAAGAAAGAAAGAAAGAAAGAAAGTAAAGAAGAAAGAAGAAAGAAAGCAAGCAAGAGAGAAAAGAAATAAAAGAAAAGAAAGAAAGAATGAAAGAAAGAATGAAAGAAAGAGTGAAAGAAAGAAAGCAAGCAAGAGTGAAAAGAAATGAAAGAAAAAAAGAAAGAAAACAAACAAGAGATGAAAGAAAGAAAAGAAAGAAAGAAAGAAGGAGATAAAATAGACAGCAATGAATGAAAAGAATTTAAAAAAATAAAAGAAAAGTAAACGTTAATTTTGAAACAAAAAAGGAGGAACGAAAAAGAAGAGTAATTCCTAAAACCCAAAAAGAGACAAAATGAAAGACGGATATATATATATATATATATATATATATATATATATATGTGTGTGTGTGTGTGTGTGTGTGTGTGTGTGTGTGTGTGTGTGTGTGTGTGTGTGTGTGTGTGAAAGTATATAGAAAATAGGAAAGAACTGGTTAGGTAAATAATCCACAGTTCCTTAGTATTTTAGTTATTATTTTTAAAAAATAATGCTCGATACAAAAGTAGAGCATAAATATAATTATTTATTTAAAAATATGATTCCAACTCGCGACATAAGAGGTCTCATGTTTCAAAACAAGAGCTGAAAACTTCAATATAATTATTTGAATTAAATTGAGTTAAAGTAAGCTCTGTTCCATCTTCAAGCGAAATTTTTTTTTAATAAAATATTTAACTGTCTGAAATAAGTTTATTTCCCATTATGTTGAAATAAGCTTATTTCAGAAAACACTAATATAATAGGGAAAAAAGGCTAAAAGTAATGGAAGCCTTATTAATAAAAACAAAACAAAAAACAACACTTAATAATATTAACTTTGAACATGGACATAATATCTTGACCGTGTTTTTAAAAATGAAAACATTTTTATAAAATATGCATACAACAAACTATTTCTTATTTTAATAGTTAAAATATAATCCTTGAAAATGGCTAAATGTATAGCCGAAAGCGCTATGATAAAAAGAACATTCGGACAGTTTTTATATAATTTATCATCTGAAAAGATAAAAATATTAGAATGCATGAAAAATTGTATAAAAAAACTAAATAAAAGCACCTTGTCTGTTGTTTTCAATGAAATGTGCATGAAAGAAGGATTTTTGCCTAAATACACAATATATATATATATATATATATATATATATATATATGAATCACACATTGAGTACTGGTGCTAATAAAATAGTGCTTCATGTATAATAACGGAGCCATAATTTATATTAATAAATATACTTATTATTAATATAGATATATTGGTCACACTACGATATGTTTAACAAGGAGACTCACGCTACATCTTTCTGACCATAGTTCAATTAGGCCTCATTTAAATACACATGGAGAATTACCGGATTCTATTCGCAACATGTTGATAATACAAATCTAAGCGCATTGGCTCCATGTAAAAAAGTGACTAAAAATAATGGAAGCTTTATTTATAAAAACAAAAAAGAAACAACACCCAATAATGAACATGGATACAATATATTGACTGTGTTTTGAAAATAAAACCTTCTATAAGGCTAAATACATAGCTACAACAATCCATTTTCAGTTACCAGTAAATATATCCTATTCTTGAAAGTGGCTAAATGTATAGCCGAAAGCGCTTGGAAAATTAAAACATTTGGACATTTTTTGTATAATTTATCTACGGAATGGAAAAATATAGGATCTCATGAGAAATTCTATAAAAAACTTAATGAAAGCACTTGTCACTCATATTTAATGAAGCTTGTATGAAAGAAGAATTGCTGCCTAAATACACAATATATATATATATATATATATATATGTGTGTGTGTGTGTGTGAGTGTGTGTTTGTGTATGAAGGGTGTATGTGTGTTTGTGTGCGTGCGCCCTTGTGTGTGTATGTTTGTATGTGATCTATCTATCTATCTATCTATCTATCTATCTATCTATATATATATATATATATATATATATATATATATTTCTGTGCGTGTGAGTAAAAATTAAAATATAAATAAGATGTATATGTAAAAAGACAATACGAATTACGACAAAAGGTAAATGTTTCTTTCATTCCCTGGGAGATTTTATCAAGGTGAACATAAGGATTTTATTTTGCAGGGCGTATTTATAAACGGAGGTACAAATATTACAATTAAAAAAATATGCTTAAAATAAGGAAGGAAAAAACGAAAGTAAAAAGGAAGAAGAATAAGAAAAAGGAGCAATGAAAGAAAAGAAACACAGTGGGGGGGTGGCAAGAGGAAAGTTGATGTGAAGACGAGTTATTTAAACATCGATTATTTAAAAAAGAAAGAACAGATTTCGAAAATTAAATAAAAAAAAATTCTGAGAGACAGAAACCAATTATTGGATAGGAAAAAGTTCAAAGTTTATTATTTTAACGTTGTTCAACTTGTATGTACTCAGTATGAACACCTTGTGTTGGGTGACAAACATCGAAATGGTGTTCTTCTGGTTACCACACTGGGATCAATTGATCTGTAGATATTGACTTTATAGTTTCAACAATTCGATGTCGAAAATCTTCAAGAGTAGCAGGCATAGCTGGAATAAACATTCATTCTTTTATAAACCCCCCGCAGATAAAAATAGGGTGATATCTGGTCACCTTGGAGGCTACAGACGATGAACAAGATACTGTTTTTCACAAATTATAATGATTTAAATTTATACGAAATTTGACAACAAAAAACAAAAAGAAGCATTTAAACCAGATTGAATAAAAATGTTATTTTAATAACTTTCAAACTTTTTCCTATCCTATTCTGTTGAATATGTTTATGTCTTAGCATTTGTTTTAATTAAATTATATATATATATATATATATATATATATATATATATATATATATATATATATGTATATATATGAGCACCTCGACGTGGTGTAGGTGTAATGGTGAGAAAGCTTGTCTTGCTAGATCAATTACGACTGAGTAGTGAGTTAGATTCTCATTGGGTGCTCCCTACTTTCGGTCGGTCTTAGAGAATCACTATATATATATATATACACGTTTCATTAAATAATATAGACAAGTGTTGTATATTTATTTTATCTAAATTTTTTTTTATAACGTCTGATAAGTTTAATAACATTATCGCTGACCGAAGAAAGAAATTCACAATATCGATCCATATTTTTTTAATACAGTCTAAGCTTTCGGCTTACATAAGCCATTATCAAAGATGTCAATTACAACATTTTAAGCAATATACGGACAAGACAGTGATGATAGTCTGTCATTGTTTACATAGATGATTTCTAAGCAACGATAAACACGTGCATATAAGACGCTAGAAGCGAAAATCGCACCGCATTTCATGACGTCACACATGACCACACGAGAGTGAATTCGAGAAGTATGAAGTATGGGAAGCCGTTGGTATAAACCAATGGCTTCTGTTACCAATTATAGACATTTAAGGATATTTGTAGAGATTCCATAATTGATTTTGTTTACGTTGGGTTTCAAATGTTTGATGTATAATGCTTCAAGTATTTTTAGTTTTTGTCTATTGTTCTCATGTCGAAGTATAATTGTGTTTTCGACAAGTATTTTACGGAATTGTGTGCGGGCAGGCATGTTGTTTTAAATGCCTAAAAATGTTAGAGTTTTCATTAAAATGTAATGTCAAGCGTCGTGAAAGCGAGTTTGTGGTGTGACCAACATCAATATTATTTAATTCGTTGGAAATACAATCTCCCAAAGGGCACTTGAATTTATAAACTATGTTGGTTTTTTGCAAATCGCTAACCGGGGGAGAAGAATCATTGCGAAGTATTAAGTTGGATATACTAGATTTAGTGTAGTATATGATTAATTTAATTTTTTTTGCTAGGATCTGTAGTTGATATATTAGAATTTACTAAATTTTTTAGTATGTTTTCATCTTGTTTATAATTAGTATGTATTTGATTACGATATAGGAGATTAATATATTTGAGATCAGTAGAAGCAGTATTATGTACAATTTGCTTATTATTGAGATTTCTAAGAATGCATCTTATTTGTTCATCAACTATATAGTTTGGAAAGCTATTATTAATAAGTGTCTGTTTTATATTCTTTAGTTCACTGTAAAAATTTGTTTTGTGGATGAATTAGTTTCTGCACGATGTATTAGATTCTTTATAATTGCTATTTTGTAGTAATATGGGCATTCGCTCTTGTAGTTAAGTGTACATGAATTTATGCTTGTAGGTTTTTTTGTATGGCGAAATAGTAAATTTGTTATTATTTGTGTTTATCAATATGTCAAGGAAGGGGATTTTATTATTAGTATTGAGTTCATATGTGAATTTAAGGACAGAATTATTTTGGAACCGTTTTTTTGAAGTTGAATTATTTCATCTGTATTTTTAACTAACATAAGAATATCATCAACGTATCTTAGGTAGATTGATGGTTTTTAAAATCTGTAAATAACTTATTTTCGAGGTTCGACATGTAGAAATTGCTAAATGTCGGGCCCAGTACTGAACCCATGGAGACACCATCACGTTGTATATATATATTGTTATTATGATCGAAGAAAGGGACTTAAGTAGTAAAAGCTAATAGTAGTTTTCTTAATATATTAGGATTAATTTTAAGTGGGGGTAAAGATGAGTTACTGTATATATTTCTATATATATATATATATATATATATATATATATATATATAGAGAGAGAGAGAGAGAGAGAGAGAGAGAGAGAGAGAGAGAGAGTATGATTATTCGGATATCCTTCACAAATATGTCAATATTGCATTCAAAACAACACACACACACCTAAACATCCTAAAAGTCAAAAATGAAAGAAAAGTAACACCTAACCCCCCACCCACAACGCTTGAAAATGGTTAAAGTGGCTGAAAGTACTTGGGACAATGGATAATTTTTGCACAGCCTTCCTTCCGTCAAAACCCCAAAATGTAAAAAAGCGCTGGAAAGACTAAATAAAATAAATATTGTTTATCATAGTCAATGAAACATGTTTAAAAAAGGTTCTGCCGAAATCCATATATATATATATATATATATATATATATATATATATATATATATATATATATATATATATCTCATTATTCGAAAATTATAACATAAATATGTTATAAAATCACTACAAAATAGACATTTTGTTTCAACCCTTCTGGTGTCTTTTCAAGTGATGATGTTGAATATAGAATAAAGGGTTAAATACAAAATGGCTATTTCTGTAGTGATTTTATAACATATTTATGTTATAATTTTCGAATAAATAATTATATTTGCTCTACTCTGTA